AAGGGAAGGGAAGGGAAGGGAAGGGAAGGGAAGGGAAGGGAAGGGAAAGAACTGAGAAACTGGTAGGCCACTTGTTTAATTTAGCATCTCAGACAGTAAGCATAATGGGTGCAATTTGAGTCATCCCATTCTATCCAGAACCCAGCATTAGAGTATAAGACATTTGAAATAAGAAATTGCTGAAAAGAAAAAAATAAAATAAAAGTATATTCTTTCCTAGAGTATATATAGAAAGAGTATCTGCATTTATGTCTCAAAACACAAATAAGCATCTTTCAAGATGCTTATTCTCTGAGCTAGCCCCAGTCCTGCTCTCTCTGACTCAATAGCCCTAAAAACTATCAAGCAACAGCAGAGGGGAACTGCAAGAAGAAAGTGTTTCCAGGCTTTAAGAAAAAAAAAAAAAAAAAAAAAAAAAAAAAAAAAAAGATTAGAGTGAGAAACTCAGGAACCAATTCCCTCTAAAGCAAATGGAAAGATTCAAACATAGTAATGCACAAGTGCAAGATTCTGTTTGATTTACACCATTGGCAAGAATTGGGATCAATATCTCAGTTCAACAGCAATCTGTTAATGAGCCAAAGGAGGGAAAGGTTGTAGCATCACAAATTAAAAAGTAATAATCTCTCAAGCTTAATATCAGCAAAGATGATTATTTTCTTTGATTTGTCACACTAATTGAAAATAGCTTTATAGTTCGCGGATGATTAATTAGGAGCCAACAAGATCTCCATTTGCATCTCAGTAATTCTTCACTGTGCTTTATTTCAACATTTAGTCTTCATGTTTAGAATATTCCTTGAGAAAGCAGGAAGGTGATTAACACAAGATTTGAAATGTGTGCCATTTGTTCTGTTTTTTACACATTTTTGTCAACAGAGTCGAAAGGAAAGAATATACAACGTTACAAAACGATTACTGCCTGTTCCGCTTACATCTGCTAAATCCTCCTTTGTGATAGAGGTATTTTAACTAGGTTCGTTTTGAAACAGAGAAGGAAAAGACTAAATAAGGGCAAATTCCCTCCCACTCCTACAGCTCTCCCAAATCAAATGAATATTGAACCCCGTGTATAATCACCTTGAAAAGTTTCAAAGCTCTCCTTTCTCATGTGAAACAGCCTTACTCCTGCAAAGATGATCCCATGACTCTGGTACCCTTAACAGATTCTGTTCCAGGAACAAAGGGGTTCCAAATACCATCTGAAAGATACGTTATTTTCAAGTCACATACGTTAAGGTTTTTAATTTGGAGATGTTATTTTGTTGGGGCTTTTTTTTTTTTGTTTTGGCTTGTTGGTTGGTTTGTCCTGTTTTATCATTTTCTCACAGCCTTGGCATCCTCTTATCACATCATTCTCAAGTCTCCAGCAAAGGGATTGAGATGATAAGAAATTTAACCCTTCATTTGTAAAGTAAATGGCTAGCTCTTATAGTGGTTTAAAGAAGCTGGATGGGTAAATACCAAAGACTAAAAGAAGAGCTGACTCCTGAGGATTAAACCATCAGAAATCAAATCATAAGAGCCAAGCGTTTCTACTAACAATAATAGTAATATAACCTGTATTATTACGAAGAAATCTGTCATGGAAAAGACTACCTGGTAGCTTTTGAGTTTTGGGAATTGTCCTCTGTCTACCATCAAATCCATCCTTTCGTAACAAGTTCTTCTTATTCCTGCCAGCGCAGGGCTTGGTCTATCACAATGTCACATCAAGAACTTGACTTCAGAACACCAAATTACACCTGTGAGTACCCGGTGCCTCCCTTCCAAAATCTTAAGGCCCTTGCTAACACTACTGCAAAAGTAGCCAGCATCACAATGACCCTGTTGTTTCTTTGCACTTTCTCCCAGTCACAAACCAGTCCTTGACAAAGGGGTATTACCATGGTGGCCAAAATGAATTGAGACTAAAAGGGACCCATTCCACAAGGGAAGAGGAAGACCAACGAGAGACAGTAGGGTTACACTGACAGTCCATTTATCTGGAGGTGCTGATTTTTTCCTTTGTCTTGATAGATTATTTATTTATATATTTAGGGTTTTTTTTAGTTTCTGTTTCAGGCTTGTTTTTTTTGTTTTTTTGTTTTTGTCAAGTCACCGTAAGTACTGAGTTACCCATTAGCAGGAGTGAAAAAAGACACACATTCCTGCACCCATGGAAACTATGCAAGAAGTACGATCAAAACAAGTTCAAAAAAAAAAATTAATGGAGAAAGAAAAACATTCCCTTTCCAACCCCCAAGCAGAAAACACTTTTAAGTCAACAGAATTGAATCTAGTTTATTCTCAAAAAAAAAAAAAAAAAAAAAAAAAAAAGAGGAAAAAATATGAAAACAAAACAAAAATAAAAGCAGGTCTTATCACTAGCAGTAAATAAATTTGTACAACCATTCAGTCTGTATAATAGGATGAAATAAATCTACATCTTTCTTATTTTGGTGCGTTGAATTATACATACAAACAACAATTACAGGAACTTGTTCACAATGCGTATAGACCTGGAGAATGGCTATCCAAAAACCCCTTGTTGGCAATGTCCGCATGTTAACACTGATTGCCTGACACCATTGGTACTTCCTATGTAAAGGGCCCATGGCCCAAAATGAATGATCTCCCTACAGGTTTTATTTATTTAGTTATTTAGTTAGTTAGTTAGTTAATGCATCAAAACCGTTCTAGCCAGCCCCCTCCCCTCTCCCAGAAATGAAGAAGAAACAAAACAAAACAAAAAAAGAAAATTAAAATAAAATAAAAGGAGAAGACATGACTGGCAGTTGGTCCATTTGTTCATTAAGACCGCGTTTCCTCTTGGTCTGCATTGTTTGTTTTTCTGGTTTTTAAATTGTCCTCCCGTCGTCTTTTTTTTTTTCTTTTCCTTTAAAAAAAAAATCTCTCAGAGTCCTTCATGCCTTTTTCTTCGCAACTCTCCAGATGCAATAAAGTCTTCCTCAAATGTACAGTATTTCTTACAATATAAGTTATATGCAATGTTCAGCATTTTTTATTTTACTTTATTTTGTTCACAGCACTAGAGATCCTGTTCAATAGGGAATGCGAGTTCTGAATGGCTTATTCACAAATGGTATCCAGATTCAGTGGGTAAGAATACATAGATGCCATAGTGAGTTCCTTTAAAAAGTGGCAAACATCACTTTTTTAAAACTTTTTTTTTTCTTTTTTCCTTTTTTTCTTTTTTTTTTCTGTTTTTGTGCTTTTTGTAGTTTTTTTCTTTTTTTATTATTATTTTTTTCATTCTTACGCCTTCAAATAACATATTTATTTTTATTCTTTTTATTCTTTTTTTTTTTTTTTCTTTTTTCCCCCTCCCATTTGATTTGGGACATCAGACCCATAACCACGCGCCTGCAAAAATGCAAGTATATAAAGTAAATCTCATTTTGAGACCGTAAGCATTCAGCAGGGGAGTCTCTCACTAACCCATGGCAGTGACCATGCTGGAGGGATGGTGAGGTCCGAAGGAGAGGCTGGATGGAGGATGCATCGGTGTCGGTGTAGTCAGCATGTGGCTGGAGTGACTGAAGGGTGAAATGTGGCTGATAGAGGACATGTGTCTGGAGAGGGCGGCGGGGTTAAAGGAGCTGCTCTTGGGAAAGTCTTCGAGGTTGTCATGGACCTTTTTGCACTTTTTGGATTTGCTAGACATTTTTCGGTTTCTGGTCTGAATTCCTTCTTTCTTCATAGTCAGGGGTCTGTTAATCTAAACAAAAATAAATTATTTTTTTTTGTGCTTCCATCTCTTCTCCCCAGATCACTGTGGGATTCATGCACCCTATGCCACAGGATATGCCCAGGTCCAGCTGAACATCCCGCAGTCCCCTCCTCCCCCTGCATAGCTCAAACACCTCCAAAATTAAAATCAGGGCCAAAACCACTCCTGGGAACTACAGAAAATCCCAGGTTGGACTGAAATTTGTAGAGATGAGAAGACAGAAAAGCACAGAGCCCCACAGGAGGAAAGCATACCCAAATAACTTGTAGTGGCTGAAAAATTTCAGCTATCTGCACATAAGGTAATTGCAGCATGTTTAGGAATGAGACCAATCATTATCACCTTGAAATATTCCCTGCAGACACCATCTCACCCCCAGGCTCCCTGACTGATCTAAAACCATTAGTGACAGCAGCTGCTGGGATTTCAGTGCTACCGGAGGTCTCAAACTCTCCCAGGGTCGTTAGGGTGCTGCTCAAACTCTTCATAAGACTGACAGCTGATTTTGTATTACTTGTACTTTTTAAGAAAGGTTTTTGCAACAGTTGGGAAGCATGCATAAAAACCCTTAAAAATCTGTGCCTGGGCAATGACAGGGGTCTCACAGTGGCTCCTCTGCAGAATCCCACCCAAGGCAGAAGGCAAAACCCCATAGCACTGAACACTGCTTCTTGCAATAACGTGGGTGCTGATGATGATGAAAAGGGAGGAAAAAAATGGATCCACTATCCACTGAGAACCACAAGGCCAATGGAAGGAGGTTCTTGCAAGGATCCTGAGCAGATTTTGATTCGTAAGATCTTCAACCAGTGCAGGGAACAAAGCACACCCTTCTTTGAGATCACAGAATAATTTAGCTGCTTGCTTATCGGTGCCTTTCCCCACAGTGTGAGAACCATTCTGTGAGTTCTCTCCCCAAGGAGGCAGGGATACAATAGCTCCCTGTTATATGCAGGGACAGAGGCATGGGGAGAGGAAAGAGCATCCCAAAGTTCGTCATCTCACTCTGAATTAGTAACTCCAGGCTCTCCGCACCAGCAGTGATGAGAAATTTCACCTCACCCTAAAAAATGGGCAATTGATAGTCTGATTACCTCTGGATAAAGGCAGCCAGTGGGAGCAGCCCAGCTTGCTAGCAGCCGAAGGTATGCCAGCCCATGTGCAGATCCACAGCAGCCTTGGGGCAGCAGCAAGCCAAAACCTCAAATGTCATAGGCTTTAAATACAATATCACCCTTCTCCTTGACTTGCTGTCCTCATGGGATACGCATACAAGGGAGGCCCTTTGCTTCAGCCTGTGATGCAAAAGCATAGCCTGCCTGTTTCCAGTCACCCAGTAGGGATTTCTTGTCCATGTTCAAAAGGCAAAAGGTGAACCCCACTGGGGAGCAATGTCACAGCTGATCTGGAGGTCCTGATCTCCAATAAGACCAGCTCAGACCTGGGGAGACATACATAAATTCCTGCCTCCCCAGCTCATAATGAGAATTTGCACCATGATATGAAGTCTCAAGGGCATCCAGATTGGATTTCCAGAGAAAGCAGCAAACACAAGCTGAGGACCTGGTGGTGGCAAAACTGCACCATCCTCATGCTGTGCTGGCTCTTGGAGTGTCCTTCAGAACACCGATCACCTCCTTAAAGCAGCATCTTTATGCTTTGTTCAACTGCGAAGAACGGATCCTCATAGACTGTGATGTGAGCCTAAAGGATAGGAATATGAGTTTTGCTCAGGATGCACTGAAACAGTTTGCCCAGAGAGGTGGAGGATACTCTGTCCATTGTGACATTCAAGGTTAAGATGGATGGAGCTCTGGGCAACCTTATCTCTCTGTACATGACCCTATCCACTGCAGAGGAGTTGGAGCAGATGACCTTTAAAGTTTCTTTCCAACTCAAACTCCATGATTCTATGATAAGCTGTAGCCAGCCCTGCAACTGGGGTCAAGGTGCCATTCCAACTGATAGCATCATCCTGCTGTACTTGGCCTCACTCTCTTGCCAGGTATTTGACCCAAAGAGATAAGCACTCAGACAAATATCAAGAGGAGGGAGACCAGAACAGCCACAACAGCAAGCCAGAAACACAACAGCAAGCCAGAAACATTTCCCACTGACTTCTAAGATTAAACACAGCAAAGTTAAAGGGGTCCCCGAAACATCAAAGGCACAAACCCATATCTGTTTCTGGGGGAGAGAAATGAGAGACCTGGAGGGAAGACCTTTCACATGAAAATTCATTGTGATAAAAATGACAAACACATGCTAAATTAAAATTAAACCACCCCAAAGCATGTATATGAAATTCATTAATTTCAGATGGAGCTAATTAATTATGGGCAGGAATTACGTTCTTTGTTGTATCATATGCAAAACACTGACTGCTCTGCTCTTGGGACACTTCACTCTACCTTTGGATATTGTGTAACAAAGGTTGCTTTTGAGGACTTCTGCCAAAATCAGTGATATCTTGTTCGTTTCTATGGGTGCAAGACAGGGTGCTGCATACCTCCAGCAAGGTACAAGTGCTCCCACCTATCTCTGAAGTGAGCGAAGGCTGATCCCACTTCTAAGAAGGACTGAAATAGCAAGGACAAGAACCCCACATTCAAGAGATCAAATCCAGGGGACAATCATAGACATTATAGGTCTGATCTTGCTCTGACTGAAGACAAAGGGATTTTGCAACTGACCTCAATAAGGTCCTGTCACTGAAGTGGATTTATCCTTTAGACATAGTCATTACAATGTTGGGTTAATCTTCCAGACTGGCTGTATCTTAAAGAACACTCTGGGATGCCACAGGATGAAAGGCATCACATCAATGTGAAATATTAGTCATTCTTAATACTGGTGTTAATGGAGACTGCTCTTGTTGAAGTCAATTGGAAAAATGTCAGCAACTCCACTAAAGGTACCCCAAGACTGTTATAGCCATTGCTTATGTCCTACTGTCAAATGGGTTCACTTCAGCTGAGGGAATCAACAGGAAAACAAACTGATATCGCTCATTAAAAAAAAAAAAAAAAAAAAAAAAAATTGAAAAAAGTGTTGGTATTATTTACTGCAACCCTTCCTGAGGTAGGCATGAAATGCAGACACGTTTTATCTTCAGATCAATCCATTAAAATACCCTAATGATCTGAAGGTCCTAGGAAAACTCATTAAACAGAAAGAAAAGACAAAAGGAGGAAAGGTAGGGGGAACTAAAAGAGCAAGGGTTTTCCTACTAGCCTAAATAAATCAGAATGAAATCGTCTTCCGAGTAGCGAAAAGACTTCTGCAGTCATTGACACATCTGTGCAGACACCCTGCTGCTCAAAAGGGAAATGCTATGGCGAGCCTGAATGCATTTCCAGCACCTCTCCTGGTGGAGAACCAACGCAGAGACAAACACCGAAAAGGAGCAGGACCACACCTGCACTTTAAAATACCAAACCAATTCCCACCAGCCTACGAAACTTGTCTATGATCAACCACAAAACTTCATCCCTGCTTTGAGTTGACTAAAGGCAGTTAGAGCAGCTCACCTCCTAGCAGCCAAAAACAGAAGGAAACTTCACGATGCTACCATTGCCTTATCACCAGTCACAAAAGAATTTAAAAAATAAAGTCACTCACATATAATTTATAAAGCAGAGTGTGGCCTTCATAGCTATACACCTTGTAAGCCATGTTAGGCTGCAGAACAATGCCTCAGCACTGTGCCCTTGTAAAGCTTTAAAGCTGTGAGAGCGGTATTTTCAAGGATGATCTGCAGTGATGTTGCTCATTTCTCACTGTAGTTATAATTAAGCATCACCCAGCAGCAAAAATTAAAAAAAGAAAAAAGTGGAAGAAAAATCTACCTACTCATAGCCAGATTTTAGTATCCTTGCCTAGTTCTATCATAGTACTCTAGGGGGTATCATTTAAGTGGGTCCCATCAGTGGAGCTGCTCTTAAGGCAAGATACTACTTGACTTTGGTAACTAGCTGTACTGAGCTTTTCAGAAGCTGACAGTGTTTTTAATGAGTATGAAAACAGTTCCAATCTGCTCAAGGCCTGCCCTATGTCACAGATTTCACTAACATCCCTAAACAATGGATCAGGGGGTCGGTTCAGGCCAACTAGTTTCACAAAGTTAGTGTTAAAAAGAAAAGGAGAGAGGGAGCAGGTGCTCATTCCTGGAGAACTCCAGTGTTCAGCTGCCTTAGGGGGAATTCCTCCCGTCTGACAGCTACGGTGCAGATCCACATGAACTTAACATTCTGTCTCCATTTCTAGACACAGGGAGATATTGTACAGTCTTCAGGGCTATAAATGATCTCATCCAAATGCAGACATCTTCACCAGGTCCAACAAATGGTACCTGAGGTGAGACTATTCCCATTCATGGGCTTTGCTGCAGCACAAGGGGAACAACTCAGGTAGAAGTGTCCCTACTGCTCATGTTCACGCTAGATGATTAAAATCATAGAATTCCTGAAGTTGGAAGGGAATTTAAAGCTCATTCAGTTCCAATGCCCTGCCATGGTCTGGCTGTCACCCACCAGATCAGGCTGCCCAGAGCCCCAAACCAACCTGGCCTTGAGCACCTTCAGGAATGGGGCACCTACAATTTCTCTGGGTTACCCTACAATTTCTCTGGGTTACCCGGTGGACCGGACGGCTTCATCGCCATCTAAGCAAAGTCCTAACATCAGTAGCTACACTGCCACAATGACAACAGCACACAAAAATATACTCCTTCACTGAAGCTAGCTGACATCGTTACCTTCCTGCCATAGAAATAGCAAGCTAAGTATTTTCTTATGATACTCCGAGTTTTCACTCCTCATGCCTGGTCCAACCCTCTGTTTGCAGATTACACAGAGAGTCTGATGACAACCTTTGTTTGCTACAAAGAACTCAAAGGGTGCTGAGATGCTCGCCCACTAAAGGGTAAACACATTTTCCTTTTTTCGAAGAGAGAGATGCCTCTCACAGAACAGGTGAAAAATTAGCCTAGTTGGGTCTTCTTTTTTTCCTCCTGTTTAATCCAAACTTGTTCACTCATGTCAAAAATACAAAGAGCTTGAAATAACAAGGGACAGAGACACCACCAGGTTTGGCTGCCCCGTGAAACCCAATCCATCTTTGATGTACTTGTGTGGGTAGACGCTAGGGTAAAACATAGCGTGAGATTTCTAAGTGAAACATAAAGCAAACGACCACTAGGAAAAAAAAAAAAAAAAAAAAAAAAAAAAAAAAAAAATGTTATGCCAAAGCACAGAAATTGGAAGTCTTTTCCTTCTTCTGACATAATAATTATTCCAATGTCACATGTAGAATGAGAGTAACAGTAGTAGCCTTAAGACTCCTGTATTAGCAGTATTATTTGGTAGAAGACTTTTCAGATTCCTTTAGCTCTTTCCCTAGGGCACATATCCTTGGTTTCTGCAATCTGGCTTTGCATGGAGATATTAGATTAAATCTCCCAGCCAGTTCATTTTGTTACATTTCTCATTCCTTTCCATGACAGATGCTTTAAAATTCATATCACAGGTTTAGCACACTCTACATCCCACTAACTAAATCAAGTCCTTTCTGTTTAGGAATCGCTTGCGTCAAATGGGGCAAACAAGAGACCTAAATAAATCACCTCTGGGGACTGGCAGAGGGACGGGACAAAGATAGCCACAAACCCAGGAATGATCTAAATAGTCACTGGCACATTTTGCTTTTTTGGCGGAGTTTGTGTTTGCTGGAGGAACCAAGCTGTGCGTAGAAGGGGTATCAGCTTGCAGGATGGCGTGTTGTCTTTTCCAGCACGCTGAGCCCAATCCGCAGTGGATAACATGTCTCTCTGTTGATCCACCCCTCCTTCCTTGGCTCAGGCATGGGAAAGCTCTAACATTACCCTCTGACAGTCCTGTTTTATACCTTCCCAAGTCAGATCAGCTACATTCAAGGGGACACTCGCTCACTGCTTCAAAACTTAAGGTTCCCAAAGGGATCCCCAAAGGGACAGAGGAGGTCTCAGCACCACCCAAGACTGGGTGTCGTAGAGTCATAGAATCGTTTGAGTCAGAAGGGACCTCACAAGGTCACCTAGTCCAATTCACCTGCAATGAACAGAGACACCTACAGCAAATCCTGAAGCCAACGAAGAGTTTGAACCACCCAAGAGTGGAAATCCTCAAACCAAGGAAGACTTTGGACCACCCAAGAGTATAAATCCTCATACTAAGGAAGACTTTGAGACACCAAGCATGGAAAGGGAGGCCCCGCTACCGCGCGTTACCGTCACACTTACATTGTGCAGCTTGTAGTAGAGCCCACAGGCATTACAGACAGGATCGCCGTTGGCATTTCTCCTCCACAGGGTGGTGGTGGTGGTCTGACAGTTAGCGCAGGACGTGCCCGCCCTCCTGGCTGCAGACTGCGGGAACGGGTGGGACAAGAAGAGGTGAAAAAAAAAGCATTAAAAAGATGCCATCAGCAAAATCTCTGAGAAAGAAAACATCAACCACACAAGACTGACGCACAGCAGCAGAGGCCTACAGAAACTGGCTTGTGAGAACAAATAATAATTCCGACAAAAAATCCCCGAGGTACTTTAATCCCAAATTATATATGAACTGAATCAGGTGCCAAAGGGCATCCTAAAAGTGAGTGCTAAACCTCTGATAGAGCTCATCAAAATTAGCAACGCTGGCACGGCCCACTCCAGAGGGGAAAATATTATTTAAATGCCAACATGTCTTTCCATCTTAATTCTCTCAGACCCCCCAGGGATCTAATTCTGCAGTCAGGGCCTGAACCAGCAATTGCTGGAGTCAGTGGCATGAGTCACGATGGCTTCAGCCAGTGCTGGATGAGACCCGCGCCGTGCTCACTGGGCAGCTGCTCGCTGGGTCTGACAGCAAGCACAGCCCCATCCCATAAGTTCAGCTCTGCTTCAAAGGATGCAGGCTCCAGATCGGAAATAACACTGTGGCGAAGAGCAAGAATCCCAACTTTTTAATTACACCCTTCTGCAGCCTCAAACTTCATGTTTATTTAAGGACTGGTAATGAGGTTGAAAGAAGAATTTACCATTTCATAAAAAGGGAGGAACAAAAAAAAAAAAAGTATATGTGTCAAGGTGTATAAAGAAGCTTTTTTGTGAGCTGTGATAATGATTTAGGAAAGCCAAATTTAGCCAAGTCGCTTCTCATTCACATGCATGAATTCTTGCTTATCATTTAAAAACTGTAACTTTGGCAAACAAATTGTCCTTCTGCCACTGAAGGAGGAAAAGGAGTTTGCAGACTTTTATATGAATGCGTATGCATGCTTGCATGCGTGCAAGTGCCTACAGCTCCTAAAAAAGATCTTTAGATCCCACTCCTATCTCTTCTTCATCAACATGACACAGTCCCAGAGCTCTGATTTCATCCCGATGCATCGCTTTCAATGGGACTGCTCATGTGCTTAAAGTTAAAACATGTGCTTAAACGATTTGCCAGATCATAGCAATGCTTGGCACCTTGCAGAACTGAGCCTTTAATGCTCTCTTTTGTGCTCTTACTGTTTCAAATTTACCCCTCACCCCACTCAGCCGCACACTGTAGCACATCCAACATTAAAAAAATAATAAAATACCGCATCTTTGGAGACTGTACAGCAAACCCAAAATGCAAACATGGACACTGGCACGGCGCTAGCATTAATACCAACTCTTGTTAGGTCATGTTGCAATTTTAATCATAATTGAATGTGGCGTAGGTGGAGAGAGGACGGGTTGGTTTTGTTTTAGATAGAGTAGGATTTTTTTCCTCTTTTTTAATTACACACACGAAAAAAGGACTATCTGAAAAAATAAATCACGCTGCGCCCACAAGCATTAAGCAGAATTGAAGAATGCCCAGTCTGACAACAAGGGGCTCTTACCAGGCAGCACGAAAAGTGTTCTGCCTGAAAAAAAAAAAGAAACCATTTGAAGAAGTTGAGGTACCCCACCACCAAAAGCAGAGCCTATCGGGCAAGTCTGCGCACAGAGGCCTTCATCCTGTCCTTCTCTGGACTCTGCCAAGGCTCCAGATTTGGTTTCCATTCAAATCACCGGGTTGGTGGACATACCTGCTCGCAGAGCTGCAAACCCACCACAACCCAGGGGCCAAGCATAGGTGGCTCGGAGGCTGGAATGACTCTCTGTGGCAGCTTTGAATTTATCAGACCCAAAAATCAAGCCTAAGGAAATTTCTGAAAACCAGCGATATTTGACTCAGCCCACACAGGGGAAACATCCCCTTTGAAGACATTTGGGGTTTCAACACTGTGCTCACCATAATTTCTCGGATGGTAAATGTGTTTAAAGGTATGCCTCATTCCAACTACCTTTTCAGGATCTCAAGCAAATTCTCACCAGCTAATTATAAATACACCAATAAATCACTATGTTCATTATCTTCCCTAAAACCTAATCCATCTGTCACTTTTTCTCTACAAAACCTTGGCATTGTTATCTCAATATTTTAAGTCCTGAACTCTTTTTGTCCCAGACCGTAGCTTTCATTCTGTACCAATTTAGACCAGAGACAGCAACAGTAGGCAGGAAATAATGAATAATAACACTATTTTCAAGGCTCCCAGCAATGGGACTGACACTCATCACCAACCCAATCATGTCCATGTCAGTACTGGGATGACACACTATCATCTACAGGACCAGAGCTGGTTGAGCAAAGACACAACTTCATGCTGGAAGTGCTGACAGTGATGGAAAGGTGGAACCAAAGAAGGTGCAGAAGGAGGAACTGAGTGCTGATAAACATGCTTAAGAGCTGGTTTTGGTGCCTACATTTACACGGAGTATCCAAAAAGTTGCAAGGGACAGCTTCCTAAAATCCTGTTGCATGTGCAAAATCCCTCTGAGAAACTAGCCATTATTCTTCCAAAATCAGTACTGACATGGAAACAGAGAGCTCTGCATCCATGTTGGCAATGAAAGAAGAAAATTCAAAGGAAGGCTTTGTCTCAGCTAAGGGCCATGAAGGAGCTACTACGGGCTTGGATGGGGGCACTCTACAAGATCCACAGCTTTCCCCCCAAAACAAAGTAGAGCTCCTCAGCCTGCAAAGCTCATCTCATCATTCCCCATAAAGGCAGCCCTACAAAGACTCCCATTGAATTTAATGAAGCTTGGGTTCCCAGCATCTAAGGATTTATTTGACTTCTCTATCCAGCCCATCGGAGTCCTGTCATTAGCTACAGTGCACTGGGATCAGAGCCTACAAAACCAGCCCAAGGTCACACAGGAAACTTGTGGCAGAGCAAGAGGTGCACACCTCGGCTCCCAGCCCGCTCACCTCCCAGAGCCGGGAGGATCATTCAAACCACAGACATGCATGCTTCCACATCCTTGCACAAAGAGATGCAAATGCAGAAGGTCTTGATGCATTCTGATTTTTTTTCTTTTTGAGAGCGTTAGCAAGAAAAATAGAGGCAAATGGTGTAAAAAACATTTTTTCAGACAGTGATAAAAAAAAAGGAGAACAAAAAAAATCTGAAGTTCTCATTTAGTAAACACTGCATGCATGCAAAGTTTTTTGTAACTCAGACTTCAGCTAAAATGTCCAAGATAGGAATGATTATGCAAGACCAGGTCTTTCTTTACATTTTTCATTCTTTTTTTTTTTTTTTCCTTTTTTTCCCCAAGAGTGACCTTTCAAAATGTATTTATTTATATATTCCATTTTACATGTGCCGAGCTCGGGGTAATTCAGGACATTCTTTCATGGTTCCATCAGACACTTTGTGAAAGCTCTACCCCCTTTCCAGCCGCTTTCCTATCCTGCCTCCCCCTCTGCTTGTTTGGATACGCTCAAGCTCCTGTGTGTTTGGGCTGGGGAAACAGAGCTGTTGTTTATGAGTTATCTCCAGGGCTCAGATATCCGGCAGCTTTTTCCTAGGAAGTTGACTTTACACATAAAGAGAGAACGAGGAAAAAAAAAAAAAAGAAAAAGAAAACGAGGTGTGTGTGCTTAAGACAGAAGGGCTGGCGGGAAGGAGGAGAAGAGAACAAGAGAGCTGCTCCAAAAAAAATTAAAAATCCCAAGCCATACTTCCCTCCCTAGAAAGCCTTTCCTTTTTCCTAACGAGGCTGTGAAAGACAAGCCTGAGCCAAAGGAGACCAACATTTTCTTATAAGGGAAAAGCACTGAAAGTCTGTCCCTAAAAGCACGCATGGCAGAGCTCCACACCAGCGCTGTCCCCTTCAGTCCATCAGCCCCAAAACACCACGGGGATGCACGAGTTGCTTTTCCTTCACCTTCCATTTTTAATCCTAATGCGACCAAATGTGCCTCGATTCAAAACATTCAATAACTTCCCAGGCAGGGAACATATTTTTTCCCCCACTTGATATATTTTTCCCCTTGTGGTTTGCCTGATTATTTGCCAAATAGATTTCAACGCATTTATTAGCCATGCCCGCAGCTTCCAGACCTTTTTGTGGCTTCCAGGGAAATTCATAAATAGATCACTGAGGATGCTATAATGTATTGCCTGTATATATTATGGTCCTGAGGCCTGAAACTATTATTTCACCATTATTCCAAATAGTTACCTGTGCATTTCACCTTCCTCCAGCTTGTGTGGTTGTGGGTGCACACTCAGTTTTGCACCCTCACACACTTTGCCATGCCCTACATTGAGATGGCAATGAGATGGAGACAGTGGTGGTGCTCGGGAACAAGTAACCCTGCTCAGGTCCCTTCTGTGTCACCACCAGCCAAGAGGAATGGAAAGCACACAGAAAGAAATTTCCAGCTTCTTATCTCTTTGGTCAGTGGGAAATGTCTTTAGAAAGAGCTTTCACCCTTGGGTCACCACCCAGGTCCGCTGTGCAGAGGCTGCCACCCTATTGCAACCTGGGAGAAAACCCAGTCCTGGCTTACAGAAACCTCTAGATCTTGATTTTTTTTTTAAACCTGTTTTATGTTTGCAATAGGAACAGACAACTGAGGCCCACAGTGCGTGGGATCCTCTCTCCAAGCATCCTCCATCCCAGCCCTCAGACACAGTGCGTCCACTTTTTGGGGCTGGCTGAGCTTTCCCTCTCCATCCCAAGCTGTGAACAAGAAACAAAAGTGGCAGGAGGAAACAAATTCTGTACAATAAAATAAAACCACTCACCAGCCTTCTCTTGGGTTTGATCAGGGGTCTGTTCTGCCCGTTCATTTTGTGATAGAGTCCACAGGCGTTACACAAGTAGTGCCCGGTGCCGTCTCTTCTCCACAGAGGGGTTGAGGTAGCCCCACAGTTTACACACTCCCTGCCTTCTAGAAACAAGAGAGCACATAGTTCACTTAGGGAAAACAGTGGTGAAAGAGGATGGAGAAATCTCCCCCCTGCCCCAGAATAACTCCAAAAGGCACTGTCTGTCCTCTCTGAGCTCAGGTTGCCCAAGAGCCCAAGGCCATGGTTAAGACACAGAGGTAGGGGACTATCAGCCCTCATTGGGTCTGATCCTGCCCCATCACCCCAATCCTGACACCCCACGTCTCCTATGCCCTTTAGGAAGAGGTAGGTAATGGTGACAACCCCTACCCAAACCCCCAGGCAGCTCAGGGGTTCCCTGGAGCTCTCCCCCACACGGGTCCCTCTTGGTGGGAGGAAGATGAGAGGCTGGTGGGTCTCTGTAACCCCTGGAGTTAGGAAAAAAAGGGGCCTACGACCCTCCTGAGACAGATGGATGCCAAATATATGTCCACAAACACCTTCCTAACACGTATGTGGACCCTGGGTTCACTCCTTGAGCATCACCCTGCATCCCAGTGGGGTGCATGAGCCAGAGGTGCTCTTCCTTTGGTCTCAGATCAAACCCCCAAATAATCATGGCCCAAGCACCAGAACACCTCTCCAGCCCTAGTCAATCCACAGTCACTGGGCCAGTTCCCACTATCTATTTGTTTGCAAGTAAGCTTTCACTGATCAGCCAGCGGGGCTGCAGAAATCCTTCTGTCTTCCTCACTTTATGTACAGACCATGCCCAATATTTGGGACCCTGAATAGTTTATAGTCTTTTCCATCTTCTTCTCCTTTTTGGCACCCTTCTGTCTCAGTTATGAGTGGACTCCCCTAGCCCTCTGGCTTCCAGAATTTAGGGGACACAGTACCTCACAGCTACTGACAGAGGGTTGAATGAGTGGTTTCATGTTGTTATTTTATTTCTTGCACCTAAAGGCACTCCCAGCCCGTCTGAGAGCAGCAGAAACACTCAGCTGGCCGAAGCAGAACTAACCCAGCTCAGCAGTGGGTTCGAGCACGAAGCACCCACTCCCTAACCACAAACAGCAGCCGTTTTTCCAGAGCCTTTGTGCTAAACCTCCCTCCCCTGCTCAAAAAAATAATCGTAATTATGAAATGTTAATTTGCATCCGTTTCTCCCTCTTTTCGTCGTTCGCAAACACCCCCTCCCTTCTTTTCACCCGGACCCATCCCCCTTTGTCTGCGAGCTCTCCAGCTTGCTAAAATCGACTTTAAAAAAAGAAAAAAAGAAAAAAAAAAATAGGTGTTGCTCTTGGGGTTGGTTTATCGCAAACCGCAGAAGTCTTTCTAGAAGGTAAAGTAACAGAAAGTGGCAAAAGGAAAACAAGAGGAAGGAGGAAGAGGGGGGGCAAAACGGTTTGAAAATCCCGCGCAGCCGCTGCCCCGCGGTTCGGGGTGAGGATAAAGCGGAGCCGCAGCGGTCGGGTCGGGACCGCTCCGGAGCACCCGGGTGGGTTCACTCCGCTCTGGTTAAGCGGGGCTGCCGCTCTGAGACCGTTTGTGTCTCTGTCCCTCTCTTTTGTTTCACTCCATCTCTCTCTCTCTCCTGCTTTCATGTACAAAACACACAGGTCTGGGTTTTTTTGTCACTCTAACCGCATCCGGACTCTATTAAAGTTCCTGGCGCTGGATAAACAATGCAACTGTCGCGTGCAGCAGTCTGAAAATAATTGGATTAGCTCAAACATATCAGCTAAATAGAGACAGTCCCTGCTCAGACAGACAGAGTAAATGTCACCCTGGAAAAACCCTGAAAACTGATCTCATTCATGCCAGGCAACCCCGCAGCAGCCTCCACGGAAAAAAAAAAAAAAAAAAAAAATGAAAAAAGAAAAAAAAAAAAAAAA